GACCTTGGAGGAACAAAGAGATTATTGAAGGATTCAATAGGAGTAGAGAGAAGAGTGTACACATACACAAAGACATATGAACAATTCTTGGAGTGAGATTGATTTCCTCACCTCCGACCTTGACTTTTATTCATATTTTTAGGTTACATTGTGCCGGCCAACCTTAGCTTGATGGCCAATTCTAACTCGGCCAACCTTAAATCAAGTGTTGACTTCTCGGTTTAGGTTGACTCTTTATTTACCAATGTGACCTTTGACCAAGAGCAACACTAATGCTTTCTTTCTCCATTCAAAGCCTTTCCTTCTACACTCCCACTTTGCGAATTGTCAAAGACTTCTAAGTCCATTGCCCTACTTAATGAATGATGCATATCCTTTGCTAATGCTTTTGTTAGTACATCCGCTATCATATGCTCCGTAGTACAATAATTCAAACATATCTCTTCCGTCTCTAATTTCTTTCTAATGAAATAGTGTTGGATGTCAATGTGTTTGGTGCAAGAGTGATGCATGGGATTCTTAGCAAGTTGTATGCAACCTTGGTTATCACACATGATGGATGTAGCTCCTTCTTGCACATATCCCACGTCCGCCAATAGTTGTCGGACCCAAATCGCCTCTTTTGTACATTGGCTAGTAGCCATCTATTCCGCCTCCGTTGTGGACAATGCAATGGTGGGTTGTTTCTTGCATTTCCACGAAATGGCTTCATGGCCCACAAGAAATACGTACCCCGTTGTAGACCGTCAATCATTAGTGTCGCCCGCCCAATCCGCATTGCAAAATACTACCAAAGATATGTCCTTACCTCCAAGAGAAAGTTTGAGTTCCAAACTCCCCTTCAAATACCTCAAGATATGTTTCATAGCCATCCAATGCAACAAACTAGCCTTGGCCATGAATTGACTCACTGTACTTACCGCAAATGCGAGGTCCGGCCGAGTTCATGACATACATGAGAGATCCCATCGCCGCTTTGTACGGCACCCCTTCCATCTTCATTTGCACATTGCCAAATTCCTCATCCGAAAGTTTCAACAACTTGGAATTTGCATCCGATGGGGTTGCCACCGGTTTGCAATCTTCCATATTGAAAAGCCTCAACACCTCCTCGATGTAGTTTGTTTGGCTCATGGTGATGGTGTGGGTCTTCCTTTTCCTTTGGAATTGCACACTAAGCAATAATTCAACTCCCCGAGGTCATTCATCTCAAACTCCTTTTCAAGTTGCGATTTGAGCCACCTCAATTTGGTCACATCACTCGACAATATGATCAAGTCGTCTACATAAAGAATGGTCACCAAGATGTAATCGTACGTTTGTTTGATATACAATGAGTGGTCCGCATGGCTCTTACAAAAGCCTTCATTGATGAAAAATGAATAGATTCGTTGGTACCATGCCCTGGGCGATTTCTTAAGCATGTACAACATTTTGATGAGTTTGCACACAAGATGTTCTTTGCCCTTTTGCACAAACCCCTCGGGTTGGTCCGTATAAATGACCATTTCTCCGTTCAAAAACGCGGTTTTCACGTCCATTTGGTGAATCTCCCTATCCATGGCAGCTGCTATGGCTAAGATAATCCGAATCGTAATGAACTTAACCACGGGTGCAAATGTCTCGTCGAAATCCACTCCCGCCACTTGAGAATAACCCTTTACCACTAACTGTGCTTTGTACCTTATGATGTTGCCCAATGCATCGTGTTTGGTGCGAAACACCCATTTGCAACCAACACTCTTACAACCCTAGGGAAGGGTGCTCGACTCCCACGTTCCATTGGCCATGAGCAAGTTGTACTCCTCTTGCATGGCGGTCTCTCACTTGCTCGCATCCTTAGATTGCATGACCTCACACAAATTCAACGGGTTGTTCATAAGTGCCACATTGACACGTTCTTTTTCGTGTTGGAGAAGAATGTGATTTTTTCACCATTCTCAGCGTAGGGTTGGCCGCCGTTTCCTCAAAGGTCACCTTCCATCTTTACCAAAACTCTCTCCATTGCCATCACTCATTGCATGCGGTTGCGAAGCCTCACCAACTCTCTCATCTATGCCATCACTCAATGTTGATCCCCCATTTTGAGCCACATTATCTCCCACTCTATCCTTACACTCATTGTTATGCTCACATTTTGAAAATTCGTCCACAATGACCACATTTGGTCCTTCATTTCTCTCACTTGGACATATCTCCGAATCATCCCCCATGCTTGTAGAATCCTCTAAGAATTTCATGTGCCTACATTTTATGATTTTCTTTGTTTGCAAACGCATAAGCCTATAGGCCTTAGTACCTTCACAATATCCTAGAAACAAACATTTGATGCCTTTGGCGTCGAGCTTACTCCTCTTCTCATCCGGCACCATTGCATACGCCAAGCATCCAAACACTCGCATATGCGCAACGATATGTTTCCTCCTGGTCCACGCTTCCTCAGAAGTCATGCGCTCTAATGCCCTTGTTGGATATTGGTTTCTCGTATAAACCACGTTCACCACCGCTTCCGCCCAAATTGATTTATATAGCTTGTGAGCATGGATCATGCTCCTCGCCATCTCTACAATGGTACAATTCGCACGTTCCGCCACTCCGTTTTGTTGCGGCAGATATGGTGTAGACGTTTCTTTGGCGATGCCGTGGTCCATCAAAAACTTCATCAATGCCTTGGAGATGAACTCTCCGCCATTGTCCGAGCAAAACGCCTTGATCTTGTGCTCGGATTGTGTTTTCACAAGCTACTTGAATTCCTTGAACCTTATGAAACATTCATCCTTGGTTTTCAACACGTATAACCACACCTTCCTCGAGAATTCATCAATAAAAGTGACAAAATACTTTGCACCGTCCATAGATGTGGTGCGCATGGATTCGCATACGTCGGAGTGCACAATTTCTAAAGGCTTTGTGGTTCGCCTCGCTTCTTCGGTTGGAAATGGCTACCCGATTTTGTTTGCTTCAATGCATGCTTCACATACCAAAGACGAAGTACAAGAAACTTGGGTGAGGTCGATGCCGGTCACCATGCTCCGGAGTGCACTTACGCCTTTCTCGTTCAAATGACCGAGGCGGCGGTGCCAAAGTTGGAGACCTCCGTCTCCTCCTTTGATTCCATTGCACAAAGTTAACCGCATCCATTCTGTGTAACTTTACAACATGCAAGTGATACAAATTGCACTCCCGAGGTGCAATGGCAATTGGGTGACCACCGGAAGCCCGAATGATGCATTCGTTGATGTTGATTTGTACCTTCAAACCGCTCGACACAAGTTAGCTCTCCGAGAGCAAATTGGCATGTAATTTTGGTATATGGAGGCATTCATTGATGCGGATCTTATTAATCTTGCTTCTCACCATCACCTCCACCAGAATGGATCCAGTACCGATTGACTCCAAGATGTTATCATCTCCCAAATGTACACTTCGTGAAGTAAGTACTTCATATGTGTCGAATGCGAGGCGATGAGAGGTCATGTGCTTCGTTGCTCCGGAATCCATTATCCATTCCGACATGCTCCGCGCATAAGGTGTGTGTTGCACGGTGAATGCAAAATCATCGTCATTCTTCACAATCTTGGCGTTCTCACTCTTCTTGTTCTTGGCCTTGTAACAAAACCGGGCAATGTGACCCGGTTTGCCAGAATAAAAGCATGTTCGTGTGCCTTGCCCACTTTTGCGTGAAGACGATATATTCATTTTATCTTGCCTCAACATCATTGCCGCATCCTCACTTCGCGGGTCCTTCTCCTTGCGCTTTGACAATTCGTGCATTAATCACGCTGTGACGTATTCCATCGTAAGCTACTCCCTCGACTTGGTCTCCAATGCCGTGATCAAGTATTCGTACGAGGGCGGCAAACTCTCGAGCAACGTCATGACGGTGTCCTCGTCTCGCACGGGTACCTCCATGCATGCAAGTTGATCTGCAAGTGCCTTCACGTGGTTAATGTGATCCAAAACATCTTCTCCTTCTTGCATCTTGCACATGAAGAACTTGCGGCGAATGAATAAAATGTTGGACAAACTCTTTGTCTCATGGATGTTACAAAAATTCTTTCACGTCTCCGCGAGTCCTTACAACTCTTGATGTGGGCAAGTTGGTTGTCGGCGAAGTTGAGGCCGATCACAGACATGGACTTCCTTACATGCCGCTCGTACTCCTTTTTCACCTTGTCTCGAACTGGGCCATTCTCCGTGCATGAACCATCCCGAGCTTACCACGTCTTGCCGCCATCGAGAGCCCCAGGCTTTGTTCCTAGACACGTACAGTAATGCATGTGCTCCAACCATTTACCATTACAACTAGCGTACGTCAATTGAGACATCGTATTTGTACGCTCTGAGGTTTTGTACGATCGCTTTTGCATACTGCCGCATTTCAGATCTTCGTCCTTTGAGGCTACTACAGATCTACCGTTTCTGTCACCCAAATCCAAGAAAAAATTTATTTAAGATTTGTAAGTTATCCTTCTTCACCTTCGGATCCGCATTTGAAGGTAGAGCCTAAGCCTTGGCAAGGTAAGGTAACTCTTTAGGGTTACTCGGTAAAAGTGTAAAAGGTAAGGGTAAAGGTAATACGTTTGGCTATAGGGTAAGTTAAAGGTAGGGTAAAGGTAGAGCCTCGCGGGTTATCCGGTAATTACCGGGTAACCCACGGTATTGTGGATATTCATCTGCACAGACTAAACCCTTCTTATGAAGAACCTCGTACCCGCGAAAAGCAAAAATTTAGTTGAGAGTTCGAGCCTTTCTCGCCCCACCTGTTTGTGTCCATCACAATGAGCTACGTGCAACTCCGTGGCAATGAGCCATACAAGAACCAATCCACAGTTGAGAGAAAGTCTTGCCAAAGTACAGTAAGACTGCAGTTGAAAAGTTGTAATTTTTGTAAGCGGAAGTGCTAACTTTTGGTAACTACTGCTGCCATGTCTGCGGATTGGTGAACATTGCGAGAGATTGATGTTTTCCTTGAGGCCAGCAAAGAAACTAGAATGGAGTCCCGTAGTCAAGTGCTCATGCCATGCTATCGAAAAAGTCTGCCATTTCCTCCACACCCAACCTGTCACATCCCCTAGTAAGCTGCGACTACCAAACTAGTAAAGGTAGATTTACAAGGTAATCGTAATAGGTTAACGATAAGAGTAACTTTAAAAAAATTTAAATCCTTACCAGATAACCTGGTAATTACCTTGAGGTAGAGTTAAAGGTAGATCATAGTGCTACGCGTATGGTAAAAGGTAGGGTAAAGGTAGAGGCCTTTGCGTTAACCGGTTACCTTTTACCTTACCTTGCTGAGGCTCAGTGGAACCTCCTAGGATCCATCGATAATGTCCCAAAGATCCATGGAGGCTGAGAGCATTTCAATCTTGAACTTCCAAAGGTTGAACCTTTCTCCATGGAATTTATCAATGGTTTGGCACTCTCGCCCTCAAAAGAAGCCATCTCTCAAATGACTTCACTATGATCCCTCTCTACTCAATGATGGTGTAAGAAGCCTAGAATCACTTCAATAAATCTCAAAGCTCTCAAGTTGGATCTTCTGAAGGCCTCGCCTCCTTCAACCGCTGGTCGATGCCGCAAGTCCCAAAGCTCCTGCCGCCACGATCCATCCGCAACAAAGATGCACTCAAATCTCTACTTCCACTAGCATGTGTGGGCCCATAACCTATTGAAGGATTCAATAGGAGTAAGAGAAGAGTGTACACATACACGAAGGCATATGAACAATGCTTGGAGGGAGATTGATTTCCTCACCTCCGTGCCTTGACTTTTATTCATAAGTTTAGGTTACATTGTGCCCGCCAACCCTAACTCGGCCAATCCTAAACCGAATGTTGACTTATCGGTTTAGGTTGACTCTTTATTTACCAATGTAACCTTTGACCAAGAGCAACATTAAGGCTTTCTTTCACCATTCAAAGCCTTTCCTTCTACAGAGATAAGGGTAACAATGGACCAGACACTTACGTTCCAAATTCCTCGAATACACATGGTCCCCCAAGATTTCGTCCACCTTCCGACCCAGGAGTTTCAGGTACTTTTTCACTCTGTGCAAAGTCTGCATTATTACACCATCGTCGTTAAGCAGTTAAAAAAAAAACTCTTCCTACTTCATGAACAGGTCGAAATCAAAGCTTTGTTCACAATCTTCATTTTATCTTATAACAAGTAAAAAAGGCTGTCAAAGGAACTTCTATGGACGTGACTATATTGACTCGTCAGGTTATCAAAATGGACCTCGGCATACATCCTAAGGAGATGACTCATACCGTAGTCCATGCCATCTAAAATGACACTAAGTTTTTCAATTCTGGAATAAACATCAATCAACAATCAGTGCAAGCAACAACCCAGGTACCGTTTGCTATGTTTGTTTATTTGTGGACGCCTCTACTAACCTTACTCTCGAGACCAGCAGTTTTTACAGCTTGCTTGCAACCGCACACAAGATTGTTGAAAAGCTGCAACTGCTTCGCAATTTCGGCCCCTTCGACAGCACCACCACACTCTTTCGTGATCATTTTCATTCGGTTTGAATCACCAAATTTCTTGACCTGTAAAATAAGATATGATGCCGCTGCAAATTGAGAGCCGCTGCAACACATGCTTCATATGAAAGGAACACATCTTGATTCCATGAAGTATTCTCTTCACATAAAGCATATCTTTTTGAGCTCTGTGACGAGGAATCCTCTTGATAGCATTGAGGTCAAGGGCTCGAAAAGAACGAATGCGTTGATGTGGAAACAGGATGGATTTAGTTCCCGCGGAGAAAAAGAATTAGAAGATTTTTGACAACAGGAAAAAATTGAACAAAATAAATGTGACAAGACGTGAAAAGTGCTATTTCATCGATCAATTCCTGGATGAATTATGATTCGAACGTTACAGAGTTCAAAAGGCTGGCTAGAGTAGAACAGGCTTCATTTGAAGAGAATACATCATGACTTTATCAATACAAATAAGATTCATCATTTGCGGATTGGTGATGTCTTCTCTTCACCTGAAGCTTTTGCTTAAGAGGCTCTAGCCAGACTTTTGAGCTCTGTTACAGGTGATTTTCGTGATCGCATCAAGTTTCAGGGCTAAAAGAGAACGAACGTATTGCTGCGCGATTAGGATGGACTTTCTTCCTGCAAAGAAAAAGAATCAGAAGGTTTCTGGCAGCAAGAAAAAGATGAAAAAAAGAAATGTAATAAGAGATGAAAACTGCTCTTGCATCCATCAATTCCTACATGAGTAATGAATTGCACGTGCAGAGCTCAAAAGGCTGACTAGAGCAGATGAGCACTAGTTTCATGTGAAGAGAAAACCTCATGAATCCATCAATTTGAATAGATTCATTATCAGCGGATCCGTGATGTCCTCTCACATGAAGACTCTGCTTCAGCGGCTCTAGCTAGCTAGGCGATTTCCTTGGTAGTATCTGTCCAGGGCTCGCCAATGGATTGCTGCGCGAATAGGATGGGTTTACTGCTGGCGGAGGAAAAGAATGAGAAGATTTCTGGCAGCAAGAACTTTCAGCATGGCAGAAAGGTTTATGAATGTGAGTGCACAAAATTTGAATTCCCCTATCTCATTCATCTGGTTCTCAGTGAACTTCGGAGTTTTGTTGACTCACTTCTCTATCTTTTCCAATCTTCCTCTAGTTTTTGAGCAGTCGCAGGTGTTGTCGGTTGTGAAGACCAACTTGAACATCAATTTGAAAGGATTCTTGGCTACAGTTCGTGCGGGAGACCGCGGCATTTTTAGCAATTTCAAAGTGATATACGCTAACACAAGGAGTCGCTTTTTGAACAACAGTTTGAAAGTGAGATCCGTTGAGACGTGGAGGCGCTTTTTAACAGCACTTTGAATGCAATTTGAAAGTAGCAACTATTGAGACTCGGAGGCGTTTTTCGAACAGCATTTTGAAAGCCTCGGGGTTATTTGTCAAGGTCGGGAAGCAACACTGAAGAGATTAATGCACTTGTGTCGAGGTCATATTTTCGGCTATATATTAAAGAATTCTTGTATCACTCTTTGAGTATTGAGGTTTTTGGTGTTTTCAACACTAATTCTCGTTTTTTTCACAATTTAATGTTATACTTAGTTTGGTTTTTACACAATTTCAAATTTTAGTTATTTGTCATGTATTTTTCTGTGTGGCTACTCTTTAGAGCAGTTGTAGCAAAGTAGGGTTTAGGTTTTGGGTATAGCAAGGTAGATTATGACTTCGGAACCTCTATTCTACATGCTCGGAAATGCCATAACCCAAATGTGTAGACGTCGTAGCTTATTGATTTGGGAAAAATCATCGGGCTCGATCAACACATTTTTTACCAAACTCTTAGAAAGGCTATTCTCTCACTTGAGAATCACACATTAGAAATATGAAACTATATTTTCATCATTAGCTAGAAATAATACCCATGAATGTATTATAAACCATCCTCTGAGATTGTATTGGACGCTGGCTTCATACTGGGTTTTGAGAGTATTCAAGCCATTGCTTTCTTCTGAGAATCAGCTGACGTTAAAATCCTCACTATGCAGCTGACCCGACAACCGTCTAGATGATGAATTGAGCTTGAATTTCAACTCTGCAAAAATTGAATTTTTTTGTACTCGGTAGGCCTCCATCGAATATTGTAAGCTTCCATCGCCTTGATTATGTCCCTCGGGAGCAACCCTATCCATCTCTCTTCCGATGCTCTTGCTCCCCGTTGGAGTTCCTAATTCTTTCAGTCACTGGTGAAAAGGCAGACGCTAAACATTCATTCTCGCTACTTTGTGGAGTTTTAATTCCAGGCTAAAAGTTTTGCCCTTACTATTTCTAACCTCGAACATTCTCCAGGTTTAGGAACCATACATTGCAAAGAGCAGTCTCTGTGGTTGGCTGCCTATTTTTATTTTTATTTTCCTTTCCCAAAACAGAGCCTTCTAAAATAATTCCCAGCAAAGGAATTATCTGTTTAAACTGAAGACTGTGCTTCCTACAGTCTTCCACAATATTTTGAACATAGAAAGTGAAACTCGTCCAAATCTCATGCTGGATAAGAGACATGAGATACGGTATTTCCCTAACATGAACCCTTCAGGTTTTCACGATACACAAAAGTCTTAGAGTAATAGATTCCGAAACTCCAACAAAAGTTATTGGCAGCAATTGTCAGCGCTCGTAATTAAGGCGTTTCGGAGTGCTACCAGGAGAGTAAATTAAAATTAACAAGCATCGGATAGAGAAAACCATCCCATAGACCCAGAAATCGGATTAAGATTCTCAATCTGTGCATTACATGTGGATTACATGTGCAAATCTGAGCACCCAACAATGCAGGATTAACAGAAAATCTACTACTGCCCCATGCACACGTACCTTGTCAACCATGCAGTTCGTAAGCTTGTTATCCATTTGAGTTTGGACCTCTATAAAAGGGCATGGGGGTTGATTCGATTTTCATGCGAAGCTGGTAGAGTCAGAGAAAATCTGCTGTAGGCTATAACTTATATTCAATATCACCCTCGTGTACTGCAATCTTACTACAAACACTTTTAATGACGGCGCTCGGTGTTTGGAAAGACATGAAATATAACCTGATCGAGCTGACCAACTTGCCTGAAAACGGAGAGGCCGAGAGCAAATGCGAGAAGGTGCAAACGAACCGAAGAGAAGACGAGGGCAGGCATTACCAAGAATAAATAAGCGAGACTACCACATGTCAGAGGTTGAACCCTTAGCCTAGATCAATGCAAATATAAGATTTATTGGTCAGACCCTTTGCAAGCGGAGTTGGTGAATTGTATACTGATTTATGCTGTTTTACTGGAAATTGCCGAAACTGAGGGCCAGACGAGACTTTTGAAGTTCGTGTTGGTACTCTGTAGTGTAACCATAGAACTGACATTAATTGCTCTTCTAATCGGGTCAGTCATATTGCGGCTGTGAGCCTTGTTGGTCGTCCTTCTACTTTAGGGTCTAAAATCACTTTGGACTCGAGCATACATGATGGCCCTTACTGAGATGCTCACAAGGTGCCTGCGCAGTGCAAGTTCAGTTCTCAGTTTTTCTACCGAAGGTTTGGAAAGCACATTCTGCCCTCCGGAAGTCGCACAAGTGCTAACCAGCTGACATATAATAGATCGAATCGTGTGGCCACATGGATGCACAAAACTATGGCAAAACCAAAAATTGTTGATCGATATTTTGCCGGGATACATGGGGAGCATGATATGCGAAAATAAGTTTACTTGCTCTGTCGTTTCCAGGTTGCAGAGTCTGAATGATTTCTCTCCGCTTTCTCATTTCTCTTTGGACTTATTACGTTACATACGTTTAGACTTTTCGTAGCATTTCTCCTCCCACGTCCAGAATAAATTTTATCCAGACTTCTCTGATCTCTTCCTTCGATTTAAGATGGAACACACATTTGTGTAAAGGAAAGCGTTGCTGTCAATTGGTTTCAGACAGTTTTATCTTACATTCCTCTTAGAACTTCCTCTTGACACTTCCCATGCTTTTACTTGTCCATTTAGCTGAAGATAGATTCACTGTCAAAAAAAGAGACGTCAGATTTGAATGAATCGGCTCAGAAGTGTGCTAATTCTCCCAAGAACTTGTAGTCAGGATCCCTGGAACGGGTACCGCAGCATATCCTCACAGCCTTGCGTCTGCCGGGAGTCGGACCCGGGTCTGCTGCTTGGAAGGCAATTATCCTAACCGTTGGACTACAAACGCCTGTTGTACAAAACTGTGCTGAAGGTTTCTTGAACTATTCTCACATAGGCTCTTTCCTGCTATATTTCTTTTGCTCCTTGCTTTGTTAATTGTCAACAATATTGACTGCAGTGTTTTGATAACCTTTCTTCCATTACCATGATCACTTGAAATGATAACCTAAGACTGAATAAAGATATGATTTAAAACTCTTTTTTTTTTGTGATAACACAAATACAAGTCTACAACAAAATCATTACGGGTTTAAGTTATACACCATCATTGTACTCCGACTGAACTTTAATACTCGTCCATTAGCGTTTTGACCTTAGGTGAGAGAAAATATCTTGAAACAATTGCACACCGGCATTCTAGATGGTGACAAAGAATGAGCAAGATGAGAACACTGCGTGAAGGAAAAATGTCAAATTTCAATGTGTATGGAAAAATATAATATGTTCAATGTGTTGTTATAATGTTTTGTTCTGTAAAAATGTTTTGTTATAATTATTACTAGATATGAACTGGGATTACAGCCTATACAGAAGAAGGTAGGTCTTCACTCCTACTTCACTCCAGACTCCGTCTGACATCAAAACACAATATCCCACAATACTCTTATCCCACATATTCATTAGGGGCATGAACATGAGCTACCTCACAGATTCGTAAACTTTGCGATCTCATCTTGCTCATTCTTTGTCTGAGAGATACTGAGAGATACTTTCTTCTCTCGCCACGATCAACTTGCCTCCACATTTTAGAAGCTCCGAACAGAGCTTAAGTCCGACTCTATTTGTAATTTACAATCCCGGATGTCTTCAAGAAATCTATCAACGTGTACAAAAAATGTTTAAACGTTACAGGTTGAAGCATTTTAGACAGTTTATTTATATAGGCAATGAAGATATTGAAGACATATATAATCCTAATAATTAATCATGCAAAAATGTATCATTTTATTTGTATCTTAGAGAACTTCATTTTTTATATCACAAGTTGAATATACTATCCATCTAATATTTTACTCTTCAAATCAACATTATGGATAAATTCAGTCAATAAGTTATTCCAATCTTATTGATGGAATTTGAAAGTGACGTGAGATGATGTAAACTAAAGTTACAGAAAAAGTTGATTTTTCTCTGATCACATGAACATATGAGACAAACTATTGCAGACAAGTATTATTAAGAATCTTAATGAAATTGCTACTCAAACCCATTCATATATTCATCGATCACAACATTACGATAACATTAGATCTTCCCAAATCAGTAAATCAATATTTGTTGAATTTCTAAAGTCCAATCGTGGATCAAAACAAATTATATCGACGAATGTAGTGGAAAGAAAGCAATGCGCCAGCTGAAGCAGGAAAGCACGTTCATCTTCGAAAGTTCACAAAACTGGATAGACATCGAAGAATAGTCGAAGAATAAATAATATCGAGCGACCATGTCCAAGATTCACCATCCAAGTTGACAACATCTACTTTACTTCACTTCAGTTCACACTTTCCTGTACTTTACTTTACTTCGCTTCACTTCACTTCAGTTCACACTTTCCTGTACTTTACTTTACTTTACTTTACTTCGCTTCACTTCAGTTCACACTTTACTTTACTTTACTGTACTTTCCTTTAGTTTACTTCAGGGAGGTATGCGCAGAAGGGTAGGCTCCGGTTCAATGCTCAGGTCGGGCGAAGTAGTCTCGTCTTGTTCGTCTGATTCAAAGCGACCCAGTCGCAGTCGCAGTCCGCGCGTCGCATGGGTTATGATGATCGTGGTCGTGGTCGTAGTCGTCGGGCGCTGGTGTCCGAGCTCTCCATGTCGCTGCCTTCGCTGCTCGCATCGACAGAGCGATCGAGTTCCGAGTTGCACGCGAGCATTTGCGCTCGAGGTCCGGAGCGCGAAGAGAGAGCGAGCGAGCGAGCAAATCGAGGCTCCACGGCGCAATATCACACTGCGGAAGCTCGAATTGAAAGGTCGGATCTCGAGGCTTTTGAGCCCGGGCAGGCGAAAAGGCTGGAAGTGGAAAGGGGCCGGGAAGCAGCAAGATCGAGCGAGCATCGACGGGCGTGAGGGCGATTTTTGTGTTGAGGTCGGGGAGACGAGATGGTGATCGAGGGGATGGAGGGTGGTAGGGTAGCAGGGGGAGGGCTGGGTGGTGGTGGCGGGAGTGGAGGAGGTGGGGGAGGAGTAGGAGGAGGAGGTGTTGGTGGTGGTGGTGGTGGAGGAGGAGCGGAGCAAATGGATGTCGAGAGTTATGCGAGTTTGTACACGGGACATACGAAAATTGCTCGCCTACATTTTATTGCCGATCACTGTCATTCGCGGGCGTTGGAGCTAGAGGCTCTGAGAATGGCGTCAGATGAGATCAAGAGAGGGGAAAACACTGCCCTCTACCGTGAGTCCGTCGATAAGATCGCTGGTCGCCTAGGGAGCACGTACTTGCTCGATCAGGAGTGGGTGGATGTTGTGGATCGTCGGGCCGCCCAACGTCAAGAAAAGCTGGAGATGGAGCTGAATGGATATAAGGTTGCTGAGCTTTGTTTTTCAAGTTTTTTTTCGAAGAGATTAAGTTGGCCCGATTCGAGCCTACTTTCGACCTTACTTTTGTATACTTTAGTTTGAATGCATTGCGAACAGACGAACAGTCTAAACGAAAGTCTAAATTCAAATGATGAATTCCTCGTTTGGAAAATCGCAATCAATAGAAACGAGGTTTCATGGTACATAAGTTGATCGATACCTAAGATTTAAATTTCCTCTTTGGCATGGAGATGCTGCCATATTTTTAGATTCCTGTGTCAAAGCATTGTGTACTGCAGTGAAGCTAAGACGCATCTGCCTATGCATCATCCATCATGTTAAAATCTCCACGTCAATGATGGAGAATGTGAATATTCACCTCCTTAATCCTACTCCGTCGTTGGGGCTCTAATAGTACATTTTTCCAGTGTCGTCCGCTAAAGTCCTTTCGTTTGTTTTCATACACCTCAATCAGATAGAAATTCAATTCTATGCACGGAACTTGTCTGAACTTTGTGTTCTTTCAGAATCCCCTTCTTCTGAAATTGACCTATATTCAGAATCGTCCCGCAACCTATATTCTCTCGATTCCAGAGGGCAATTTTAGAGGTCCAGAAACTTTGTACTGCGTCGCTGGTTCGTATGTTTCACAAGCCGTAGAGTTCGGGGAGTTGATTTTTGATCCCAAAGCCCTTCGTGCATAAATTTTGGACGAGCGTTTTTAGCCGAATAGGTCTCAATGAAACTCACAGGATCAACGGAAGTCTTACTGCACGTAATTGGTCAAATGAGCGTGTGGGCATGCTGCTAAAGTTAATGTCAAGGTATCTTTTCGGATTTGGTTTTAAGTTTGAACGATGTTGTGTTTGTTTTAACAGACAAATCTTATCAAGGAGAGCATCCGAATGGGATACAACGACCTGGGGGATTTTTTCTACGGGCGTGGGGATCTGCAGCAGGCATTTAAGTGCTACGTTCGAACTCGGGATTACTGCACAACTTCAAAGCATATAATTGCAATGTGTTTGAATGTGATTCTCGTCAGCATCGAGCTTGGTCAATTCGTCCATGTGTCCAATTATGTATCGAAGGCAGACCAGACACCGGATGTTCAAGATCCAATTGTGCTTGCAAAGTTACGTTGTGCTGCTGGCCTTGCTCACCTGGAAAGCAAGAAATACAAACTGGCAGCTAGAAAGGTTTTGATCCTGTCTCTCTCGATAAATTTATGTATCGCAACATCAGATTTATTTGCTTAATTAACCAGGCTCGTTCGAGAATAGAGATAATTTTTGTCATCTACATTTTTGAGAACCAGAGGGCGCCAGCTTCTGGCTTCGAACAACTTCTGATATCATTTTGTGCTTTGGAGACAGCTTGCGGAAGCCATGTAGGTCTTTGTAATCTGATGACCGTTTCATCGCTTTCATTTGTGATGTAATGCATGTCAACATCACCGATTGAAGTTTAAAATTTTTTCTTGTCAGTTTGTAGACACCCATTTCGAACTGGGCAACAATTTCACTGAGGTGATAGCTCCCCAAGATGTTGCCACGTATGGTGGTCTTTGTGCTCTCGCTTCATTTGACCGAGCGGAGCTCAAGGTACTGTGTGGAAAATGCATTTCATTATGTTTTTGGTTTAAAGTTCCAGCTTTCTGGTGCGGGGTTGACCTTCGGTCTAACCTTCGTTCTTATGTGGCAGAGTAAAGTCATCGATAATATAAACTTCAGAAACTTCTTGGAGCTTGTGCCAGAAGTTCGAGAACTTATTCATGACTTTTACGCAAGGTAATGTTTTCAAACATCAATTCACTTTCAGGTCTTAGTCTTTGGAAGAATGCCCAGTGATCCAACCCTTGTTTTTAGTGCATAAACCGCCTGATCTGCAAGTTTTGTTGGATGGACTTGGGAAGCGCTAAAACGTTTCGATGATTTCTTGCAAGAATGAAAGGAAACGTCGGCAGAAATAGCCAGTCTCAAAATCACATTCGCTTTTACTGCAAGAGAGTACGCTGAAACCTGAATTTTATGCATGATGATTTGTTGACCCGCATCATACGTGAATTCCTGCCTGCAGTCGCTATGCTTCGTGTTTGGGCTACCTCCAAAAGCTAAAGCCGAACCTTCTTTTGGACATCCATCTCTATGACCATGTGGAAGCTTTATATGAACAAGTTAGGCACAAGGCGTTGATTCAGTACACAAATCCATTCATCTCAGTCGACTTGAACACTATGGCGAGTGCTTTCAAAACGAGCGTGGCTGGCTTAGAGAAAGAGCTTGCCGCGTTGATTATGGAGAATCAAATCCAGGTAATTGCGATCCTCATTCTATAATGGTCGGCAATGTAAAGAAACCAATTTCCTCACGGTCGAGTTATCATCATTGAACTGACCTTCAAGGGCTCGTTAGGGAGTTTAGGATTCAAACTTCTGGTTAAAGGATGTTAGTTGCATTGAAGCAGGACCTAATATCTGTCGTTTTTGTGTGCCTAGGCTCGCATTGATTCTCACAACAAGATCCTGTTCGCACGGCATGCGGATCAAAGAAACGCAACCTTTCAGAGAGTATTACAAACCGGATCTGACTTTCAAAGGGACACCAGAGCAATGCTACTACGGGCGAATCTCATGCGGCATGACTTCATCATGAAAGGTGCGATTTGCAAGTAAACCTTCAACCATGTATCGTATTAAATGCAGAAATATAATTTACATCCACTTTGTATATCTATCCTGGTCTCTAATTTATAAGATTGACACCATCTGCTTGATTAGGAGCCATGAATGCCTTGAGTCAGCTAGCCAGTAAGTCGCATCCTTGCATATCTGTTGGTGAACAGTGAAATCAATGTATGGACGAAGTAGGCTACCATGGCGGAGACTGATCAATTTTCGAGCTTGAGTTTTTCAGTCCTAAAGCTCCTGGGTTTCGCTGATTAAGTACGTTCTTGGGCTGGGCATAATCGAATCAATAGCTACCGTGCACGATGAAGGGTCTCAAGTAATGCTGTTTAATACCATCTTGCCACTGACCAGCGCCTCGTCCATGACCCTCATATCATTACTCATTGCGTACTTTGTGCTTAAAATCGGTGTAGTAGGTTCGAATGTCTTGAGGATTATGTACAGGTGTAACATATGTGAATGTTTTCAACGTTTGAGAATCTTAAGTTTTACCTTTCTAATGATGACTGAGTCAGTGAGCCAGTCATATGATTCAAATGCCCAGAGTTATAAAATGCCAAACCTGTTCAGTACTTGATACGGGGATATCTTGGAGTGCAAAATCCCCCGCTTTTCTATGACACGCGTCAGGCTTAAATCAGGAGTTTAATCCGAACGCTCTCGTGATACAGAAACTTCTGAATATTGACGGAGGTTATTGAATATTTTTTTTAAAATTTGAAGCATATACTCTAGACAGTGTATGCATTAAAGTTGTTTTCAGCTTTCGTTAAGCACTTTCTGAACTTTCGACAGTAAGATATTCGATTTGAATCGTCTGTCATGGTTTTGGTACATCCATCGAAATCGCGAGTGCCGAGCTTCGTTGGTGTCATTGTTTTGCCGCCACAGTTCTGTCTGCAAGGTTCAGATACATAGAGTCCTGGAGGTTGTCAAACGTTGGTTTGAAGCGTGTCAATGAAAACCCTCATGATTCACCAAGAACATAGATAGCAGCGCTATGTTCAGATTAAACCAGAGTCGATAGTATCAATGAATGACAGGTTCATAAGACTTCTTTGTTGATGAGCTCTAGTTTGAAGCTTGTTAACAGTAATTGGTGCAAACTTTTTACGGTTTTAACGGTTTGCCTTATCTCTGTTTGTATGGAATAATTTAATATGGATTGAACTGCCGTCTGTTGTCAGAGAATAGTACCAATTTTACTCGACAATTGGAGTATTGCCGTTTGTGGAAGATTCATCCATGTTTTTATTCCTCGAACATTCGGGGTTGTTTATCGTTGTTATGGGGTTACATGTTAAAGTTTTGTTATAGATAATGACCCAATTTACTCCTCATCTGGTTTTCTAGTATCCCAATACGAGTTAAGTAGATTTTGTGCTTTTCTTGCACATAGAAAAGCACATTGCCTTCTTGAGAATTCTGCTTTTGAATTATATCCATGCATTTAGTCATACTGAAGAAGATATATAGGACCTACCATGGCAGTACGTAGTAACATGTTATTATCGTCCTTTTAGGTAGCAGATCAACGCTGAATGGTTGGTTGCCTTCGTGACTTCAGTCTTACGTTGACACGGTTGCTAGGTTTTATCGTATTTTAGACCTTTGCTTTTCAAAAGGTCAAGAGAACTTTTAGAATACTGACTCTCGTCAACACCGTCATCTAGCTCCATCTTAACGGACAGACCTTCGCAGTTGCTCTGAATGTGTCATTACCTTGACTGCTGCTTTTGTGTGTTATGAAACGCATATGCATGTACTCTTTGATGTCCGTTTGTAGAAAGTTTCTATTCTAATCGAGATGGGTTGAACCTGTGTCAATGTTCTGAGATAATGAGGTCTCAACTTATCGTCGCTTACACCGTTCCACACACCCAAGTGATTGTGTAGAAGAACTCAAACAATTGAACATTGTTTTCTTGTACAGGTTGAGACACCGAGGGGATCAGGACAATGTACCATCCTGTCTGTCAGCGGCTGTCCTTTAGGTAGACTCGGAAACTTGAGCTCGCTTGTTGCTTGTAGACAACGCAAATCTTTCTAAAGAAGCAAGCAAATTGTGGTCAAGCTTGGTCTTCGCAGGTGAATATCAAGGCTCAACTCAGTTGGGATCCGATTTGAAGTATCTGTATACTAAACAGACCAAACTGTGTGGGCCTGTAGCGGCTTATTCGCTGGTTGAAGATAGTTAGTGAAGTAGCAGCACACAGTTTTCTCTATGACTCTGGTTTCCTTTTCCAAGCAGATGGCGGACGATCTGTGGAAGCCTTGGGGAAGTCACATCCACCTTGGTTGATGCTGTAATATTGAGGAAGCTTGTGGTGAAGTAAATATTAGGTTCTGTATGGTTGGTTGCCAAATCTCGTCCTCGAATCTTATATATTATATCATAAAAACCTTCCTACCAGCAAATGTTTTCATGTCAATATAAACGCACACCCGAGTAGTACACAGAAAATGAGTAGTATACAGGGCGGATGATATAGCAATGAATTCGTTCGATTATGTTTATTTCAGTGGTAACATACGAGACTTGAAGAGCCATGCTTAGGAGAAATAAACTCGACCACAACGAATACATCTGGCTTTTTTACATTCCCGGTATCAGTGCAAGTTATTTTCTGAAAACTTTGTTTTGAAGCAGGACTGATATAGATAATATAGAAGTGGACTTAACTCCGCTTTTTACTTTTAAGGCTGAACTAGCAGGAATTCGAACCATATGTATGCTGTTACCACGAGTATACATAGAACTGTACATTCAGGGAAGCATCAAAGATTCCATTAGAGAATGCTGCCTCAGCCTTTTGAACTTACCCAAGATGATTGTTTGTGACTCTCGGCAAACGCTGTACGGGTCATAAGGTCATCCCATTTCATTTTTTGTGTAATCTAGTTGTTAGTATAGAGTATAGTATATCTAAATCCTGAGCCTTTCATCTTTCAATCATCGTTAAAAAATAACCATATCACCCTCGAAAAGGTGGAAGAGTTAACCACGAAATAGAAAACAAGAGACTTGACTATCAAGAGATTCATATGTTACATCGATGTCAGTAATGTGATGCCAGACACTATGGTGGCAGGGAGAAAATAGAAGTTTCTTTTACGTCTAATTATCGAAGCACTTAGTTCGAATGTATGATATAGGTATTGTTTTTAAAATTTGGGATTGAAACCATTCACTACCACCACAACAATGTTCTCCGCGGTTTTCGAACAACAATTCCTGCCTGAACATACAACTTCTGTAAATACTTCTATAGCGAAGAATATGAAGTAAATGCAAACTGACGTATAAAAACTTCCTGTTGTATCTAATTGGCGAAATCTCTTGACAGCCTCAGAAATTACTTCACCTGGAAACGTGTGTCTGCATGTGGGACATGGAAAGGAGCCGCCAGCTAAAGCAACGAAGGGAAGGTCACTTGGAATGCTTGACGAAGAGAATATAGGGCCTATTGGATGGTTGTAATCTTCAAGCTGCAAGCAGGTTTTATGCAGATTTTACGGAGCAGGGTTAATCGAAGTTTTTGTAAACAAAATCGAATATATTGGTCTGGATACAATCCGTAAATGGTGAAAGTATTGAGTAACTTTCATGGACCAAAGATATTGGCCTGGCTTGACATGAAGAAACCAGGCTTTTCGCAGCTTTTTCACGAGAAATACACAAGCACACGTTCAACAGTACTCTTGAACATTGAGGGGAACCAAAAGTCTTTACCCAGTAAACCTAAGAATGTTCGAAGAAAGTTTAGGACATCTCTTCTTTATATTGCACATAAAAACTTAGGTGACTATGAAACTTAGCCTTACTATGATTAATTCTACCTAAGCTTAGTTAAGATCTCAGTTAATAGAAACAATCTCCCCCCAAACTCAAGGTCATGAAAATATTAATTATCCATATTATCAATTATTTATATCATCACTTTTTGAAAAGTTCTAGAAAGAAACTTAATATACATTTCTCTAAAAACTAGAACCAATTATAACTAAGCCATAATCAAAACAGTATCAATCAAAGATACATAGAGGTAACAAAAATGATCTCTAAAGTCTACTTGTGCATCTCATGCAAAACTTGCAAAATAACACAATGTTTACTAAAATTCTCCGAAAGAATAATTTTGGAAAGTTTATATGTTAGATTGTATTTATCGTCAATCTTGACTAATTCAATCCTTTTATGTTTTTATCGCTTGGTTAACATCAAGACCCACTCAATCCTTTATGCTTTTATCACTTGGTTAGCATCAAGACGCACTCTAAATATCACGATAAAGAATAACAATCATCTATTTCAATCCCATCTCAATGATTGAACTACGTAATTTTGCAAAATAGATCTCCGGTTAAGGCATCCACCACTAAATGTAAACACATATCCAATTGTAAATTTACTCTTGTTTGGATTTTATACTTAGACGTCAACATAATCTAGCAAAGTATTCACATTGTTTATTAAGACATCAAAAAAATGTAGTATTTTCTAGTTTTCTTTAAATATCTGAAAATTCATTTCAACTCTTCCTCACGTATCTTTCTTGGATTTTGACATGTACATGTACATGCTAAAGCAATATCAAGTCTTGTGCATACCTTAAATACATGAGACTTCTCACAACATTGTCATAGAAAATTGCCAACATAGTTTTTTTTTCAATGACATTGATTAAACATTGAGTTGCAAAAAGTTTGAAATGTGTTGCAAAAGTAATCATATTTTTTTAAATTTTGTCATGTTAAATGTATTTTTCTTCATTCTCCCATAGTATTTTTTTCTTCAAATCTTTATTCACATCCATTTCTAGTAGAATTTTGAACCATTTCAATTTTTTCATTTCAAATGCAAACTTTGTTACATTCTTGCATGTAGTGATGTGCATTGAATTTTTGCCAAAATAAACATATAATTCACATAAAATACTCAAATATTGAGATTTCAGTTTTCATCACTAAATTCTTTTATATATACACATGGGTATACATCTACTTTGAAAATCTTTGTATTTTCATGAACTCATCAAACCATGCATTTTGGAAATACACAGCTTGTTTCAATCCATATTATAATTTCAACAACCTACAAATCAAAATTTTGTTACTTCTTTGAACTTTCTTTTCAAAGCCAAATGGTTGTTTCATGTAAGTTTTTTATTTCAAAAATTTCATGTCAATGTCATTATAGCCATTTGTTCATAAAAATACTAAATATTGCAAAAAATGCATATACTAACTGAATTGTACATATTTTGCTACATGCAAGAAATTTTTGTTGTAAAATTTTATCTTTCTCTAGTGTGAAATTTCTAGCCATAAACTTGTATTTGAAATTTTCTTTTCGTCTTCTGTTGTATTGTACTTCAGTTTGTACATTCATTTGTTATCAAGTGAAATTTATGTCTTTAAAAGCTTCTTTAGCTTTCAGATCTTATTATCCATCAGTTATTGCATTTCACATTACATAGATATATGTTATTCAAAACTTTTGATGGATGTATGATAAGGTTTCTTTTCTTTCAAAATTCATACAATATTATTATCATATTCAATATCAATATCATAATCTTCAAGAATAAATAAATCAAGTCACAACTCATTACTCATAAAAGCTATATTAATTCAATTTGATGATTTACAAGTAAAAAATTGTGATTGAGCTCTATCCTCTAGCGCAGATTTTTGAGATCCATCAACAATTTCCTTCTACTACAATTCTTGCTCTTCAGCAATTTGCTCCATTTGTATTACTTCTGTCACATCATTATATTATAATGATCAATCTCTCAATCAACTACATCCATGAATGAATATATATGTTTATCAATACAAAAATTTTAAAAAGTCTCGTATTTTTTATATTCATAATGATCTTATGAAACCTTAACATTACTGGTACATTAATGAACCTACATGTTACTATTAATAGCTTTGTGCCAAAATTCATATGGTAAATCATACTATCTCTATATATTAAGCATCTTCTCCAACACTATTTCATTGAATCTCTCAAAGACATTGTTTGATTGCAAAGAATTAATTATGATGAGATGATAAGTAATAGCTTTCTCTTTGGTATAACTTCAAAAATTCTCAAGAATATATTTTTTGCCATTATTCATACATAGATATTTCACCTTGTGTCTAATCTAAATATCAACTTGTACTTTTTGAGTTTTTGAAGATTAAAAATACATCATACTTTTGTGTGACAAAATAAGTTAAAACAAATCTTGATTACTCATCTATAAAAACTACATAGTACAATTTTTAAAGTGTATATCCACACTTCACTATGTACAAACTCAAAAAAAATCATTGAATACATGATATCCAACACCAAATGTTTGACTATGATGCCTTTACATAACACAATATTCACAAAACTTCAAGTCATTTTTGTCTATGTCAAGAAACAATTTCATCTTGCCAAGGAGTGTAAAGTATCTAATACTCATATGTTCTAGTGTTGTAGTATAGAACACATGAAAATGTGTTTATGTGATACATTAATCATTTTAACTTGAGTTTTAATAAAGTTCATTTCATCACAGATGCTAATACTCTAGCATATATAAAGAATTGTGGTGTGATCTCTTAACAAAATCTTATCACATATTTCACCTCATATTAGAAAAAAATAACTTATCTGATTTAAAGATTATGCAAAAACATGTTATCAATTTATTGGTAATTCTTAAAGTTTTAATTCTCTATTACTTGAGATCATAACAAAATCAGTTTTTATTTTTAAAAAATTAGATTAAATTTAGCAAATTATAATTTCAAATTTTTACAAATAAATGAGATCTATTCTCAATTAAAAGAATCAACTATAATTATATGATAAAACTATACAAAAATACAATAGCTACATCTTGATAATTATAAATAATGATACTTAACCATAAAATTTAAAGATTATTCTACATATTTTGTAATAATAATTTTTACATAATATATGATTATAAATTTTATACATAATTATAATCATATATCTATTTCTCATAAATATAATCATAACTAAAAAAATATATTTCATAATAATTATAATCAAAAAATTATGATCTGCGTAATGAGAATAACAAAATTTAACAAGAAATGATCACGAATTGCCATGAAGCACGCTGGATGAATTTATCCAAGTATTGGATTAAGTGTGATATTGAAATGATAAGATATTGAAATGAGGCTAGATGAGTTTATCCGAATATTGAACTAATTATGTAACACACTGAAATATGGCTAAATTTGCTAATAAGAAAGATTTCAACATAATGTTTGATAAAAGTAAGAAGAAGCGACTCATGAACTGGCCTTCTTAAATTTGATATCTCCAGATATTATCAAAAGTAAGCAAATTTCATGACCATTTTAAATTTTTTTTGAAATTTCAGAATATGATGAAATATGGAAAATAAAGCTTTATTTTTTATTGAATATAGGCTGCAAAGCATCCACTGATTATGATACAGTATTCCTTCAAGGTAGAAGTCCGTTAGACAACAACTATATTCATTCTTTTGCCATCTCAATACAGAGAAATCAGACTCAACTTAGGCCGTATTGGAAAGTTATGTTGATCTTCAATTTCATTACATGTGTCCACAACATACTTGAATGCGACCTTCTTGCGGTATGTCCGCTTCATTTGACAAAATTCACATATTCAAATGTACCACAACATTGGATGTGACGGCGGGACGCACTATCTTGCGAGTGCGAGAGGTCATATCTTTTGGAGTTCTCCTGTCGGAGGGTCCATACGGTGTTGTTTGGAAGTATCATGTGCGCAATTGTGCGCCATGTCA